TAAATATTTATAAATATTTAATAATATAAATTAAATGTAGGTTTGAATACCTCTAACCACAGGGAATATCCGCTTCGAAATCCGTGGACAATGAATGCGGTTCTAAGGGAGGCGTTGAAAGTGCTGTACCGGAGTTGGTCTGCAGTGGCGTTATAGCTATAGTTCCTGGGGATCGTCCGGTGCTCCTGAGTGTACATATGAAACACCGGTGCCATAGAGTCGGGTGACATCGGCAACAGTGGCAACGCCGCCCCGTTGTTATCGTCTGAAGAAAAACAACCGATATCTCGGAAACAACTTTTGGCAAACATATTCTGATATTCTGTTCATNGGGGATCGTCCGGTGCTCCTGAGTGTACATATGAAACACCGGTGCTATAAAGTCGGGTGACATCGGCAACAGTGGCAAAGCACCGGCCGACTCGTTGTATTCAGTGGGAGAAAAACAGCCGATATCTCGGTAACAAGTTTTGCCTAACATATCGTCAGTGCACACGCTGTGCACTTCAATCACCGCAACGACCAAAACAATTAAATTCAATTTCATTTTGATATTGAATTTAATTGTATTTATTCTCATAGACTTAACGCATACAAGAGATAATTTCTAATGCAATCAATAATATGTTGGAGTATATATGATATTAATTGAACATTAATATTAATTAATTTTTAATAACATACGGTAAATATAATTAAAGCGTTTAATTTTTCAGAATTCTAGAATACAAATAATTACCAAAATCATTGTAAATTATATACCAGTGGGTTTAGAAATCACAATATGAATTTTTTTAATTTTCCTGAATTTTTCATATTTTGGCAAAATTCTTATGAAAAATAATTTTAAAAACTTATTAAGAATAAAATTTATAGTTTTCTAGTAAAAATTTTAATAAAATATGAAATAATCATCAAAACATTATAACAAATTAAATATCTGCTTAACACGTAACTTGTTTTTAATTCCAAGTTAAGCCTAACAATACTTAAAATAAAAAGTAGTTTAAAAAAGACATTTATAAACAAAAGAAAATATCAGATTAAATGTCATTATTAAATATAATTCATTTCTAAACGTAATAGATAAATAATTAGTGTTTTAAAATTAAATAAAAATATAATCCCTGTATGTAGCTTCAATTCCGGAATTTAGTTGTTTTTATTCCCAAAAACTAGACGCTTTAATTATGAAATATTACTTCATCAACATTATTAATTAAATTTAAATATGTTTTCATATATTAATTTGTAATTTATTTTTATTAAATGGACGGTCAATACAGAGGTAATTAGATTCTGTAAAATGTATGAATATAAATCTAAAATTAAATAAAACAGATAAGTTTATATGACATTTGAAGAAATATTAGATTAAATGTCATTATTAAATATAATTCATATTTAAGCTCTTTATATAATAATTATTGTTTTGAAATTGAATAAATATTTAATCCCTAAGTTTGACTTCAATTCCGAAATTTAAAATACTTTATAATGTGAAATGTATTGTATATACTAAATCACATGTACTAAAATTAAAATTGTTAGTAAAGTTTTTTAAACACTTTTTACACTTTAAATTCATTTAGTTTTATACATAGAGTTTCGGATTTTATGAAACACAGAATATTGTCTCATATAATCTACAGAATGGATGTCCTCTTTGAATGTCAATGGCTTTAGTTCTTCGGTCAACAGATCACGACATTTATGCTTCAAAACTGGATTACAAGCGATATAATGGACTTTCTGTTTATCGGCCACTATTCGGGTCTCCGAACCATCTTTTGGACAAAACACGGCCGAAGACGCGTCTCTAATGCTATTCATAACACAATACATGTATAACTATATTATTGAATTAATTTAAAACCATTTCAAAACTGTTATCTAAGCGTTTCTATTATACCTCTCGTTCATAGAACTCATGTAATAGATTTCAATGATAGGTATTTGCAATTTATAGCCCCTATTATAACGATTTATTACGGATTCGTTATATGTCTTCCACTCCAAAGCCAATGAATGGATTTTCTCCACTTTGAAGTCAAACGTAAGCAAAATTGTGTGAACTTTTCGGGGAATTGTTTTTGTCATAATTTGTGTGAAATTCAATTCTCGCACTTTATTACTGACCGTTGCATTCATTTCAATGTTTAAATCCCCTGAAAATGTATTATTGGATTAATGTATGATATAATTAGAGATGATATTTTACATGAAATCTTAAATTACACTTTATTTATTAATTTATTAATAGCATTTATAATTACTAATTATTGAGTCACTCAATCATTCATTTTTAATACAACAATTGTTCCCCAAAAATAAGGCTAATAAACACACTTCTCCAAGTAGTATATTTATGCAAACCTCACAATGATAGCATGCATAATTTAAACTAGATTTTACTCAATGTTTACTACAATTATTTCATATAAATCTCAATACATATAAAATATCACAATTTTAAATATAACTTACCTGTTGTTGAATCAGAAGTGTTTGAGATATGAAACCCCATTTGGTAGTGATGTACTGTTTTAATGTGCATTAGTTAGTAATTTAATAATTAGTTGATTTTTTAATTATTAACTTATTATTTACAGCAATAATCCTTTTTGGGTCGAGTGTTAACATAGTATTGACTGTCAACTGTCCGCTCATCCATTTTCTTGTCGGTCCAATAATCGGGGTTTAGACCCATTGGTTGGCATTTATTGTCAGCACAATTAGCGCACCGACCCTCTAGAAATGCACCATAATTTTCGCACTGATAGCCAACAGCACTGCATTCGTCTTCAGGTTTTTCTAAATTTATAACAACTTAGAAAATATAACATATTTAAATGAGATAATACCAAGGTTATTCATTATTGACCAAGCCCTGGAGCGCGAACAACTAATGTCGTCGCCCGATGTAATTGTACTCAATCTACTGGTTATATCAGATGCAGCACATCCCGGTTGCCAACTGCCTGAATAAGATGACAATAACTTAATTATATATTAATGTATTAATAAACATTTCAAACGATACCTCCGTTGGGATAGAAGTCGAAGTGACCCAAAGTATCGCTCGTCCCAAATCCCTCCGTATAAGAGACGGGTGCGTCCGTATGGATCACATCCACTATCTGTGCGTCCGAATGGTCTAAACGTAAAGCTGTGTTCTTGGAGTGAAAAGCGACCCCTAATTTAAGATTGAAATATAAGATATAAATATTATCCCATTATAATCATCACCGGCCGGATCGAGGGCTGTAATGCGGGCCACTTGAGGATTATTCAGTCGTTTGCCGGCAAAACCCATCACATGTGCGCCCAAACTGTGTCCGATTAACCAAAACCTATTATTTGTTATGTTAAATGTTTTGCATAAACTGTTGATAAAGAAACCAATGAGTGCTCCAACAACTCGGGTATTACTAGCGGCCAAATTATAAAGTGGTGTTCTTGCTCCTAATTATATAACATACAATTATTTAACAATCATATAATAATACAATCAAAATAATAAACCTTTTTCCCAAATAACGACCACAACATTGAATTGATCATTACTTTTATAAAATATGTAATCTTTCATATTCTGAAACAAATTAATTAAAAAAATTTAAATAACATTAAATGTAAATAAAAATCTTATAAATGTTGTAAATATTTATAAATTTTTAATAATATTAATTAAATGAATGATTGAATACCTCTAACCACAGGGAATATCCGCTTTGAAATCCGTGGACAATGAATGCGGTTCTAAGGGAGGCGTTGAAAGTGCTGTACCGGAGTTGGTCTGCAGTGGCGTTATAGCTATAGTTCCTGGGGATCGTCCGCTGCTCTAAGGTATACATGTGAAACAAAGGTGCGATAGAGTCGGGTGACATCGGCAACAGTGGTATATCTCGCGCCGACTCGTCGTATTCGGTGGCAGAAAAACAGCCGATATCTCGGAAACAACTCTTTCCAAACATATCGTGATATTCTGTAATTGAATTCAAATACAATTTGAGACACAATTGGATTCAATGATTGATTTATTGAATACAAACTTTTGAATTTATCGACGAATCCGTCCACTTCTTCGCGCTCCAGTTCCGCGTCTGAAAATGTCTTAAGATTATCATCACTTGAATTGTCTTTCTTTATATCAGGCGATATATCTGTGAATCAAAAATTCATTGTAAATGTAATCATTAAACGCAACCATTTGTGTAATTAGTACTCATTTTGCTGACCAATGCTTTACATTTTCGGGTCCCTGAGATGGAGGCCTCAGTGCTGTTCGAGTTTTCACTTTTGCCTATTTTTAAAGTATTGCCGAAAGGATTACTACTTTGATTGATTGTCGTTATCGGCAATTGTGTTGTTGTTATTGTCGTCGTTATTATCGGCGTTTGTGGTGTTGTTATTGTTGTTGTCGTTATCGGCGATTGTGTTGCTGTTGTTGTCGTATTAGTGTTATTTGCGTTAATTGGCGACCCCTTTGTCTCATCACTATATACCCCATGCACTGCAATGACCGCAACGACCAAAATAATTAAATTCAACTTTATTTTCATAATGAATTCAATTGTATTCATTAATTCTCATAGATTTAATTCATATCACAAGAGCTGTAATTTCCGATGCAGACGTGATATTTAATAAATTAAAGTTAATACTTTATTAATTAAAGTGTACTATTAATTAATTATTAACAACATAAGGTAAATATAAATAAGTAGTCTAATATTTGGCAATTGTAATATTCAGAATAAAAATAATTAACAAAATCACCAGAAATTATATACCATAGGTTTTAGAGCCAAAATTATGCGTTTTTATAAAAACAAATATTAACGTTAATTTTATTAAAATGCAAATTGTGGTAACATTATTAAATTATTATAATAATTTTTGGTAACTACTAATTTTTGTGTTATACGTAAATATTGATAATTAATTTGAGGTAACCTTATTAATAGGGAAACTCTGTAATCACTTATATTATAACAATGTTATTTCTACCAACCAGGGTGCATCGCATTACCGCAACTACTAATGCTATCGGGAATTGAACCGCGTGGACACCTCCAGTCACTAAACATCTCCACTAACCGGTGGGCGACAACTTTCAGGACCACGTATTTCTACATTCTACATATCTACGTATTCTTGTATTTTCCTGTATTACAATTTAATTTTGAAATATTTATTCTTGTATATTTCAATGTACAGGAAAATTGTTTTCTGTATTCTCTGAAAATTCTTATATAATACAGGAAATTCTTATATGTTTGGCAACTCTACCCTGATGGCAAATTTCTGCTAACGAAATAAACAAGATTTGTTCCTACATGTATTTTTATTGAAAATAAAAAAATTATAATAAATAATGTATAGTTGAACAGTTTTTAATTATATTCAAAATTACATTAGTAGAAATTAAAATTGTTATTACAATCATTCAATTTTATACATAGAGTTTCGGATTTTATGAAACACAGGATATTCTCTCATATAATCCACAGAATGGATGTCCTCTTTGAATGTCAATGGCTTTAGTTCTTCGGCCGACAGATCACGACATTTATGCTTCAAATGCGGATTACAAGCGATATAATGGACTTCCTGTGAATTGGCCGCTATTCGGGTCTCCGAACCATCTTTTGGACAAAACACTGCCGAAGACTTGTCTCTAATGCTATTCATAACAAAATACATAAATAAATATATCATTAAATTGAAAACATTTTAAAACAATTTAAACATCTAAGTGTTTCTACTGTACCTCTCGTTTATAGAACTCATGTAATAGATTTCAATGACAGGTATTTGCAATTTATAGCCCCTATTATACCGACGTTTTTCATATTCGTTATATCTCTTCCACTCCAAAGTCATTGAATTAATTTTTTCCACTTTGAAGTCAAATGTAAGCAAAATTGTGTGAACTTTTCCGGGAATTGTTTTTGTCATAATTCGTGTGAAATTCAATTCTCGCACTTTATTACCGACCGTTGCATTCATTGTAATAATTAAATGCCCTAAAAATGTATTATTGTATTAATATGTGATATAATTAAATTAAGAAATATTACATAAGACTAATATACAACATTCATTTATTTCCATAATTTTAATATAAATCTATTAACTTTTATTGTAATTTTTATTATTGTTTTATTATTATTGATTAAAATAAAGTGCAAATTAAAATATTACAAACCTGTTGTTGAATCAGAAGTGTTTGCAATATGAAACCCCATTTGGTAGTGATGTACTGTTTTTATGTACATTTGTTAATAATTTAATAATTATTTAATATTCTAATTAATAACTCATTATTTACAGCAATATTCCTCTTTGGATCGAGTGTTGACAAAGTATCGACTGTCAACTGTCATGTTATTTATTTTCTTGTCGGTAAAATAATCCGGGTTTAGACCCATTGGTTGGCATTTATTGTTAGCACAGTTAGCGCACCGGCCCTCTAGAAATGCAGCATAATTTTCGCATTGATAGGCAACAGCACTGCATTGGTCTCCAGGTTTTTCTAGATTAATAACAATTTAGAAAATATACTTTATTTACATGAGATAATACCAAGGTTATTCATTATTGCCCATGCCCTGGAGAGCGAACAGCTAATGTCGTCCCCCGATGTAATTGTACTCAATTTGTGGGTTATATCATTAGATACAGCACATCCCGTTTGCCAACTGCCTAAATAGCATTACAATAATTTAATTATATATTTATGTATTACAAAACATTTCAAACGATACCTCCGTTGGGAAAGAAGTCGAAGTGACCCAAAGTGTCGGCCGTTCCGAAGCCCTCAGTGTATGAGAGGGCGGCGTCCGTATGGATCACATCCACTATCTGTGCGTCCGAATGGTCTAAACGTAAAGCTGTGTTCTTTGTGTTAAAAGTGATCCCTATTTAAGATTGAAATATAAGATATAAATATTATCCCATTATAATCATCACCGGCCGGATCGAGGGCTGTAATGCGAACCACTTTCGGGTTATTCAGTCGCTTTCCGGCAAAACCCATGATATGTGCGCCCAAATTGTGTCCGATTAACCAAAACCTATCATTTGTTATGTTATATGTATTCTCCAAACTGTTAATAAAGAAACCAATAAGTGCTCCAACAACGCGGGTATTAATCGCAGCCTGGTTATAAATTGGGGTTCTTGCTCCTAATTATATAAAATGCAATTATTTAACAATCATATTATAATACAATTAAAATAATTAACCTTTTTCCCAAATAACGACCACAACATTGAATGTATCGTTGCTTTTATAGAATATGAAATCTTTCATATTCTGAAACAAATTAATTTTAAAATTAAAATAACATTTATAAATATTAATGATATAAATTGAATGAATGTTTGAATACCTCTAACCACACGGAATATCCGCTTTGAAATCCGTGGACAATGAATGCGGTTCTAAGGGAGGCGTTGAAAGTGCTGTACCGGAGTTGGTCTGCAGTGGCGTTATAGCTATAGTTCCTGGGGATCGTCCGGTGCTCCTGAGTGTACATATGAAACACCGGTGCCATAGAGTCGGGTGACATCGGCAACAGAGGCAACGCCGCCCCGTTGTTATCGTCTGAAGAAAAACAACCGATATCTCGGAAACAACTTTTGGCAAACATATTCTGATATTCTGTTCATTTAATTAATTAATTAAAATAATTTAATACTCCATTGGAATCAATGATTAATAAATTGAATGCAAACTTTTAAATTTATTGAAAAATCCTCCAATTTCTTTTGGCTCCGGTTTTGCGACATCAATGCTTGAACTGTCAAACGACTGGAGTGTTCGGTCGTTCCCTTCTGTGTTGTTGTCATCGCTTTGACCACTATTGGCGTTGACTGACGTTGTATTACCTGTACAGAGATTACCATCAACTAATAAGTTTTTTTTAAAATTCAAATTAATGATTAATGTATGCCAAACAATGTGTCTGTGAATCAAATTTATATGAAATGTAATCATTTAATACAAACGTTATTTAACAAATTTAACAGTCATTAATACCTATTTTGCTGATCCGTGATTTAGTTTGTGTGGTTTCTGAGATGGAGGTCTCAGTGCTGTTCGAGTCTTCACTTTTGCCTATTTTTAAAGGATTACTACTTTTATTGGTTGTCGTTATCGCCGATAGTGTTGTTGTTATTGTTGTCGTTGTTATCGGCGATTGTGCTGTTGTTGTTGTCGTATTAGTGTTATTGGCGTTAATTGGCGACCCCTTTGCCTCATCGCTGTATACTCGAAGCACTGCAACGACCAAAATGAGCAAATTTAACTTGATTATCATAATGTACTCAATTGTATTCATTAATTCTCATAGACTTAACGCATACAACAAGAGCTGCAATTTAAAATGCAGACGTGATATTGATAAATTGATGTATACATTATATTTAATTAATTGAAATGTAATATATTAATTATTAATAACATAAGGTAAATATAAATATATAGTCTAATATTTGGTAATTGTAATATTCAGAATAAAAATAATTAAGTTTATAATGTAAACAGTATTGTTGTATACAAGTAAAAATTGTTTCAATAAATGCAATAAATGACATATACCATTGTCTTATAAAAGTTGACCCTGATGTAGCGTAGCCAAATAACTTAGTATTTTGAAAATCCTGTATAAATATAAGAAAATTGCTAAAATTCTTGTATTTTCCTGTATTACAACTTATCTTTAAAATATTTATTACTGTATTTTTTAATGTAAAGAAAAGTATTATTCTGTAATATAATACAGGAAATTACTGGATGTTTGGCAACGTTACCCTGATGGCCAAATTATGGCCAACAAAATGAACAGATTCTGTTTTCATATGTAATTTTTATTTAGAATAAAACAGACTATAATAAATAATGTATATTTCAACAAATTTTAATTATATTTAGAATTACATTAGTAGAATAAATTTAATTTGTTATTACAATTATTCAATTTTATACATAGAGTTTCGGATTTTATGAAAAACAGGATATTGTCTCATATAATCCACAGAATGGATGTCCTCTTTGAATGTCAATGGCTTTAGTTCTTCGGCCGACAGATCACGACATTTATGCTTCAAATGCGGATTACAAGCGATATAATGTACTTCCTGTGAATTGGCCGCTATTCGGGTCTCCGAACCATCTTTTGGACAAAACACTGCCGAAGACTTGTCTCTAATGCTATTCATAACAAAATACATAAATAAATATATCATTAAATTGAAAACATTTTAAAACATTTCAAACATCTAAGCGTTTCTTCTGTACCTCTCGTTCATAGAACTCATGTAATAGATTTCAATGACAGGTATTTGCAATTTATAGCCCCTATTATAACGACGTTTTTCAGTTGCGTTATATCTCTTCCACTCTAAAGCCATTGAATTAATTTTTTCCACTTTAAAATCAAATGTAAGCAAAATTGTGTGAACTTTTCCGGGAATTGTTTTTGTCATAATTCGTGTGAAATTTAATTCTCGCACTTTATTACCGACCGTTGTATTCATTGTAATAATTAAATCCCCTGTAAATGTATTATTGTATTAATATATTATATAATTAGAGAAATTAAATGTAATTAAAATTAGAAATGTTACATAACAATCATTTATTTCTCCAATTTTAATATACTTTGTTATTAACTTTTTTTAATCATTGTTTTAGCAAGATTTCAGTCATTTTAAGTAACTTTAAGACAAGTTGTTATTACCCAAGAATTAATAAAGTCTATTTTATTTATTTATTTTTACATATTTCATCGTTTAAATGTTTTTAGTTTGTTTATAAAGAATTTTAGTACTCCATTAACTTAAATTTTTTTTGACTCTTGTAAATTCTATGAGACTATATAACTTTAATATTGTGAAAAAATGCATTTCCTGGTTTAAATAAAGTGCAAATTAAAATATTACCTACCTGTTGTTGAATCAGAAGTGTTTGAAATATTAAACCCCATTTGGTAGTGATGTACTGTTTAAATGTTCATTCGTTAATAATTTAATAATTAGTTAAAATTCTAGTTAATAACTGATTATTTACAGCAATATTCTTCTTTGGATCGAGTGTTGACAAAATATTTACTGTCAACCGCCGAGTTGTTCATTTTCTTGTCGGTCCAATAATCCGGGTTCAAACCCATTGGTTGGCATTTATTATCGGCACAATTAGCGCACCGGCCCTCTAGAAATGTATTGTAATTTTCGCATTGATAGGCAACAGCACTGCATTGGTCTCCAGGTTTTTCTAGGTTCATAACAATTTAGAAAATTTACTTTATTTAAATGAGATAATACCAAGGTTATTCATTATTAAACAGGCCCTGGCGAGCGAACAACTAATGTCTTCGCCCGATGTAATTGTACTCAATTTTCTGGCCACACTATCAGATACAACACATCCCGGTTGCCAACTACCTGAATACCATTACAATAATTTAATTATACATTTATATATTAATTAGCATATCAAACGATACCTCCGTTGGGATAAAAGTCTAAGTGACCCAAAGTGTCGGCCGTTCCAAAGCCCTCAGTGTATGAGAGGGCGGCGTCCGTATGGATCACATCCACTATCTGTGCGTCCGAATGGTCTAAACGTAAATATGTGCTTATGGTGTTAAAACCGACCCCTATGTTAAGAGCGTATTATTGCAGCAAATATTACGTAAAACATATTATAACATTCAATACCCGCCGGATCGAGTGCTGTAATGCGGGCCACTTTCGGATTTTTAAGTCGTTTGCCGGCAAAACCCATAGTATGTGCGCCCAAATTGTGTCCGATTAACCAAAACCTATCATTTGTTATGTTATATGTTTTGCACAAACTGTTGATAAAGAAACCAATAAGTGCTCCAACAACTCGGGTATTAATTGCGGCCAGGTTATAAATTGGGGTTCTTGCTCCTAATTATATAAAATGCAATTATTTAACAATTATATTATAATACAATTAAAATAATTAACCTTTTTCCCAAATAACGACTACAACATTGAATTGATCGTTGCTTTTATAGAATATGAAATCTTTCATATTCTGAAACAAATTAATTTTAAAATTAACATAACATTTAAAAATATTAATGATATAAATTGAATGAATGATTGAATACCTCTAACCACACGGAATATCCGCTTTTAAATCCGTGGACAATGAATGCGGTTCTAAGGGAGGCGTTGAAAGTGCTGTACCGGAGTTGGTCTGCAGTGGCGTTATAGCTATAGTTTCTGGGGATCGTCCGGTGCTCCTGAGTGTACATATGAAACACCGGTGCCATAGAGTCGGGTGACATCAGAGGCAGTGGTATACCGCGCGTCGACTCGTTGGACTCAAAGGCAGAAAAACAGCCGATATCTCGAAAACAATATTTGCCTAACTGATCCTGATAGTCTGTGCATTTAATCATTTAATTAAAATAATTTAGTATACAGTTGTAATCAATGATTAATATATAAATTAAATACAAACTTCTAAATTTTTTGAAGAATCCTACAACTTCTTTGGGTTTCACTTCCGACTTGTGATCAATGCTTGAATTGTCAAACGACTGAAGTGTTTGGTCTACTTCTGTGTTGTTGTCGTCGCTCTGACCACTACTGCCCTTTCCTAACGTTGTATTACTAGTATTGTGTACATCAACTAAAAAGTCATTGTTTTAAATTTCAAATCAACGCTTAATTATAATGTATTTCAAACAATATTTCTGTGAATTAAGTGAATATTAAATGTAATCATTCAATACAAACATTAATAATAATCATTAATACTTATTTTGTCGATATGTTGTGTGGTTTCTGTGGTACAGCTCTCAGTGCTGTTTGAGTCGTCACTTTTGCCTATATGTAAATCACTATCAAAATGATTACTTTTTTGGTTGTCGTTATCGGCGATTGTGTAGTCGTTGTCATCGTATTTATAATTTAATAATAAAATAAAAAACAAATTTAATTTTATGTCATTTTATTATATTTATTATCATATAAATAAATACAAAATTGTGTTTACATATGTGGTTTATATTTATGTTCGTACATATGGGCCACGGCTTCGGCGAAATCCTTTTGCCATTTCTTTTTGAACTCCACGAGGTAGTGATACTCGGCCGGAACGCTACCATCAGGGTTGGCGCGATGTTGTATCTGGGCCTCAATGGCTTTGCTGGTGTGCTCATGAAGTGCAATTGACCTGCAAGCGGAGCATCTCATGAAAGCTGGCTCGGTGGTTTCGTTGATATGGGTGTAGGTGTGTTTCGATATTTCTGTGTAACTAAGGGCCGCTTTTTTAAACTCGGGTATGTGGTGTCCCTTATTGAAGCCAGGGCGTTTATCAAAAAAGCACCTGATGGCATCGGCCATTTCACGCAGCTTATTTCTGTAACAAAAATTGTGATGGTTGAACGCCAACTCGGCGGGTGAATGTTCGTCCACCGTTTCCACATTGTGCTTGGTGTTGTAGCCTTTTTGTTTCGAGATCAAGTTCAAAAAGTTGGCAAAATCAATGCGCATCGCGTAGTTAAAGTTGTCGCGCTCGTCACCTAGCTGCTTGAACGCTTTGTCCAGCAATTCAGCATTATGAATCCAGTCCTTTGTGTACTCGCCCGATGGCCCCAAACGCCAGTTGAGGTTATTCTCATGAAAACACTTGATCGGGTTGAATGGCGACTCGTTTCCATCTACAGTGTATACGCCGTGCACTGCAATCACCGCAACGACCAAAACAATTAAATTCAACTTCATTTTGAGATTCAATTTAATTATTAACAAATATAAATTACAAATACAAGAGATGAGTTCTAATGCAGACAATTATACATTATATTGAAGTATATATGATATGAATTAAACAGTAAAATTAATTAATATTTAATAACATACGGTAAATACAGTGCAACTTCTCTTGGGTGAACTTCTCTTGGATGAACACCTCCTTTGAATGAACGGTTTTGAAATATATTTAGGATTTTCTATACATATAACAGAACCTCCCTTAGATGAACTCTCCCTATAATAAACACTTTTGTCGTGCAACTGGCCGTTCATTATAGAGAAGTTGCACTGTATAAATAAAGCGTCTAATTTTCGGTAATTCCAGAATACAAATAAATTATATAAACGGTATAAAAGGGTTTAGAAATCAAAATATATGAGTTTTATTAGCTTGAATTTAGCATATTTTGAGAAAATTCATAAAAAGTTAAATTTTATTTAAAAAAATAATTTTAAACACTTTTTTGATAATAAAAATTATAATTTTTTTTAGTAAAAAATATTAATAAAATATTAAATAATCATCAAAACATGATAAAAGAATTAAATATATGCTAAACACGTAATTGTTTTTTGTTATGTGTTAAGCCTTACAATACTTAAAATTAAAAGTGATTTAAAAAATACATTTAAATACAAATTTAAATATTTGATTAAATGTCATTATTAAATACAGTGCAACTTCTCTTGGGTGAACTTCTCTTGGATGAACACCTCCTTTGAATGATTACATTTAATATTCACTTAATTCACAGAAATATTGTTTGAAATACATTATAATT